CCCCCCCCCCCCATTTTTTCTGCTACAAGACCAAATATCAACTTTTCTAGCTAAACTACATCAACAAAAACAAATATATATTTAATATTAACCCAACATGACTTCGTTTTGAAGTAAACAAGCAAATAAAAACACAACCAACCACACTTACTTGTAAATATTTAAGAACGTCTTGACGTAAAAAAATCCAAAAATTGAATTTATCATGCTCGAACCAAAAGTGGCGGCCGAATAGGCCAAAACATTTTTATTTACCATCTTTAGAGAGTAATTATTGAATTCATAACATGAAAAATACGAAAAAAATGTGGAAATAATTTGAATTTTGGAGCCAGTGTCAACTTTCTATGTTTACAAATTAATTCAGAACTGAGAACGTGGCAAGAAACCGTGTTTCCACTTTGAAAAGGGAAGTTTATTTCGTTGAGGAAATTTGGCAAAACAATTAGCATGTTTTGCAAACTGCGCGCAGTCTTTACTAAATTGCCGTACAGCGAGTCTGCGAAACCGCAAAAAAACTTGTTTGGCGATGTAAAAAATGCGCAAATTGCATAGATATCGATGTAGTTGGTTTAGTTTAGGTTTCCTCCTGTAGTAATACTGGATCAATAAGAGATGATCCTTACTGGACCTCTAGGAAGAACAGTTTTGAACTGATAGAATTATCCAGTATAAATAAAGTTAGTTTAGTTTAGGTTCCCTCCTCTAGTAACACTGGATCAATAAGAGATGATCCTCACTGGACCTCTAGGAAGAACAGTTTAGAACTGGTAGAGATATCCAGTATAAATAAAGTTAGTTTAGTTTAGGTTTCCTTCTGTAGTAACACTGGATCAATAAGAGATGATCCTTACTGGACCTCTAGGAAGAACAGTTTAGAACTGATAGAACTATCCAATATAAATAAAGTTAGTTTAGTTTGAAAATCATTTATATCTCTATGTTTAAATCAATGTGTTATCTCAGCCAAAGGCTCGGGAATTTTAGGAGCTTCCTGAACATTGAAGTCACTGTAGTATTTTATCAAATTCTCAACAGAATTTGAAGGCAGTTTAAAATAAGTTGCAATTTTTTCTTCATTCCATTCGTCAGGATTGGTCATTCGCTGTTGAAACAGGAATGCTAATTGTTCAGATGTAAGTTTTCCAGTTGTAATGGTAGAAGGCGAGGCCGATTGCTTGTCATTTTCTGAGGTGTTCTAGAAAAATGATAAATGGTATACGATTAATTTATGTCCCCAGGGATACTCAATTTTACAAACGCAGATCTGCAAACAAGTCGTAACAAGGTTGTTGTGAAGTCGATATCAGGATGTGTTCGCACTGCTTGTTCCCAGTTGTTGTGACAAGTCTGGAACAAGTTGTTATCATCTTGTTACAAGGTTGATGACGGTAACAGACTTGCTACAAGTTGTTCCAACAAGACTAATACAGGCTGTTCGTAACAAGTTGCTACGAGCTTGTTGTCATCAACTTGTTAACAACTTGTTACGTGCAGACGATATCAGACTTGTTGGAACAACTTGTTGCGAGTCTGTTGGCCTCATCCACCTCGTTACAAGATGATAACAACTTGTTCCAGACTTGTCAACATCTGGGAACAAGCAGTACGAACACATCTTGTTGAAAAGCTGTGAGATTTTTAATGTTATAATTTTTGAAACCCCACAAAAGTTCGGGATAGCGTGAATTTGAGATAACTGAATCACTGTCAAATTACATGTATTTGTATGATGATAAATATTACATTTGTACTAATAAATATTTTAAACTATATTTTTGTTATAGCTCTTTTACGTATTTTATGCTGGGCATTAATATTTATCTTAAGGTTACAGGACACCCTTTTTGGCGTTTTGCGGAAAATCGCTACTGCGCGCTCAATATCAGTCCGATTTGAATAAAATTTTCACCAAATGTTCGCCAGTGTATGCAAAATATGGTAAAGTTGTAAAATTAACAAACAATAAAATAATATAAGAATTATTCAGGAAAATCTTAAATTGTGCTAACCGTTACGCTTTTGAGTTGTGCTCCTGCTGGTTTTAAGTTATATTTATGAAAATATCATTTTTATACAGTAAAATAGTTGTTCTAAAAAATTGTGTTCGGAATTTTTTGTTTATTTCGTCATTCCGCTGATATGGCGATTTCTTTAACGACTGCAATATATTTCTGAATTGTTGCTCAAGAGAATTGCTCTTTATTATTAAAGTATCCAAAATTTTAAAAAAGCCGAACACAATTTTGAAACTGACGTCTTTAGCTATGTCCTGTGAAAATTTGAGAAAAATTGGTCAAAACCCGCAGGAGCACAACTCGTTTGAAAATCAGTAATTGCCGTAAAATTCTTCGGGAGAAAATTGAATTTGAATATTACATTTTCAATGTTTTTCTTATTGCGGCGAAATGTATTTTATTGAATAACTCTGCGAGTTTTCAACATTTTTCGTCCAAACTTGGTCAGATAGTAGAACTAGTCTAATGCTTTCATGGAAACC